AGAGCATCAATCACATTCCTGGGTGAGATCCCCCTTCCTGAGGCATCAGGCTGAGGGCATTGGGACTCCCTGTTGGGGAAAGGAGGGATTCCCACCCCCACCAATCCTTTGGGGGAAAGTCACATGTAAAAACACACACACACACACACAGAACCCCCCCCCCATTCCCCACAGAGGAAATCAAGGGGCCTGACAGAGCTTTTTAGAAAGAATTGCTGGAAAACAAACGGCTTGCTTGATGTCCCTTTTCTCCTTCAAAAGAGAACAACTTGTTGCTAGGAGGCAGAAAGGAACCTTCACATCAGGCAGCTGCTCAGGAAAGGATTTAAGCCTGCATTAAAATTCAAACCCCTCTCTCTCTCTCTCTCTCTCTCTCTCTCTCTCACACACACACACACACACACTCCCCTCAGCGCCATGTTTCTATATAAAAAAAAAGAGGTGCTGGAACTCATCATGAACTTTTCTCTTGTTCTCTTAGAATGGCAATGGCACCCACCTGAGAAGGGGTGCCCCAAAATGCCCTGCTCTCTTTCTTTCTTTCTCACTCACTCACTCACACACACCCCACCCTCTCTCTTGCACACCCACACCCCTGCCCTCTCTCACAAACACACTCCCCCTCCCTCAAACACACTCCCCCCTCCCTCAAACACACACAACAATTATTGCTGTGTTTCAACCAACCACCTGAACCAGCTGGGAATCTCCCTGTATCAGACACATATTCCCACACCTTATTTCCCATTAGTTTCCCGCTTATTATAATACCGGTGCTTCTGTCCCATCTTCTAACGTTCCTTCCACACTGCAGTGCCTGTTGCATTACACAACCACCTCTGTGCCAGGATGTCACGCGAAATTTCATTCACACCGTTGGGCACGGAGGGGGAGGAGACACACAACGAGAAACGCAATTGGACAACATCGTGACTCCTCCCGCCCTTTCTATACATGCCTGCTTCTGTTCCCCACCCCCCATGATTCTTCCATGGAGACGACAGGAAAGATTTGCAAACCGCCCCAAATTTTATCACTTTGCTCCCGCAATTTTCTGAGCTAATGGGTCTGCAGACAGATTTTCTTTTTCTGGAAGCAATTAATGCCGACACAAGCACTAAACTTTTCCAGGAGCGCCAATTTAAATAAATATCTAAAATAATTCAATCGCCTGCTCAGGCCTCCCCGAGATTGCAGTGTTACTGCATGTGTGGACTGGAAATACTGCTGAAGAACCTTTGACCTGGGTTTCAGGGGCAGCTAGGATTTCAACAGCCCAGCAATGGAAAACCTTCGGAAAAATCCACACATGTCATTTGTGTTCTAAGAACATGTAGACCTTGGTTGTTGTTGCTGTTGTTGTTTAGTCATTTAGTTGTGTCCAACTCTTCGTGACCCCATGGACCAGAGCATGCCAGGCACTCCTGTCCTCCACTGCCTCCCGCAGTTTGGTCAAACTCATGCTGGTAGCTTCAAGAGCATTGTCCAACCATCTCGTCCTCTGTCGTCCCCTTCTCCTTGTGCCCTCTATCTTTCCCAACATCAGGGTCTTTTCCAGGGAGTCTTCTCTTCTCATGAGGTAGCCAAAGTATTGGAGCCTCAGCTTCAGGATCTGTCCTTCCAGTGAGCACTCAGGGCTGATTTCCTTAAGAATGAATAGGTTTGATCTTCTTGCAGTCCATGGGACTTTCAAGAGTCTCCTCCAGCACCATAATTCAAAAGCATCAATTCTTTGGCGATCAGCCTTTTTTATGATGCAATATCTTGCTACTGCACTTTTGGGTTGTTAGCAATGGTATATTATAATATAATATAATATAATATAATATAATATAATATAATATAATATAATATAATATAATATAATATATAATATAATATAATAATATATGTAGAAGTTAACAGTAAGGGAAATGTCAGAGAAACAGACAGCTGTGTGACTGCAGTCTATGTTAATTTGCTCTGAAATGTGCCCAGAATGACGCTCTCCTCCGTTCCTAGGATTGAATTTGATATCTTCTGTCAGGGCAGCATCACTGTGTTACTTATTTTCTTGTTTATTGATTGTATTTGTATCCCACCTTTTCCTCCAAGGAGCGCAAGGTGGCAATATATGGCTATCCCCTCCCTCACTTCATCTCCACACAACCCTGCGAGGTGGGCTAGGCTGAGAGGCAGGGACTGTCCCAAGATCACCAGCTAGATTCATGGCTGAGTGGGGATTTGAACCCTGGTCTCCCAGGCTCCAAGGGTTGCCATGGAGATTAAATGAGGAAGGGGGAGACCCATGTACACCCCCTTCAGCTCCTTGGAGGAAAAGGCAGGATATAAATCATAGGATTATAGAGTTGCAAGGGACCCCGAGGGTCATCCAGTCCAACCCCAATGTAATGCAGGAATCCTGCCCACAGCTATCCCTGGGTGGGCTCAAACCACCAACCTTTTGCTTGGAGAAAAGTCAGGTGTGCAACAAGGTGGGCGGTGGAGGGGGGACTGCTATCAGGCAGTCCTGCTCCAATGTTATGATATTTTGGGGAGATCATAGTACCCCAAGAGAGCCCCTATGTGTACTGCACATGTATATCATAAAATACATCCCAGATTCCTCTGCCTCAGGACTAGCAGATGCTCAGTGTCCCCTCTGTAGACAAATCCGGTTGGAAGGGATTCCCCAAAGACAGGAAAGTTGGAGAAACTACTGAGTTCCTCAATTAAACAGAAACAAAAAATAAATAAATGTGAATACCCGTCTGCGAAAAGCACTACACACACACACACACACACACACACACACACACACCCTGGAGCCTGCTATATCAACAAACTGTAGAGAAGGACAAAAATAGCAGCTCCAAAGCCCCCACAAAAGTTCCATTTTTGGAGAGCTTCATGGAGGTGTGAGGGAATGTGCGACTGAAGGAATCCAAGCTGCCACACGTTGTCAGAAGGAAAGGACAGCTTGCGCAATTTCAGCTCTCCTTAAGAACATATGAGGAGCCCTGATGGGGCAGGTCAATGGCTCATCTTCTCCAGCGTCCCGTTCTCTGGGGAGGCGCAAAGGCACAGGCCTGTCTCCTTGCCCGCCAACCAATGTTCGAAATCAGCCAGGCACTAAGTGCATTGTGTGTGGGATGCAGGTGGTGCTGTGGGTTAAACCACAAAACCTAGGGCTTGTCAATCAGAAGGTAGGTGGTTCAAATCCCATTGCTCGGTCCCTGCTCCTGCCAACCTAGCAGTTCGAAAGCACGTCAAAGTACAAGTAGATAAATAGGTACAGCTCCAGCGGGAAGGTAAACGTCTTGCCCCCAAATGGCAACCAGACGTTCCATTTTGGCGACTGTAACCTTGGTTTAAAGAACCATTTGGCGCCTGGCTTAAATACCTGAGTTTCTAATGCTACCACCAACGTCCCTCCCCCAGAAGAGGCTGTGGTTCTGCCAGGCAGCTCAACCTTCCAGGCAGCCAAGGGCATCGCTGCAGTGCTTTGCCATCTGGATAACTGCCCAGCGTGGCAATCCCTGCTGGAATGGAGAAGCTGTGGCTACTCTGCCAAGCAGCTCCGGGGGGGGGGGGGCTTTCCTTCCCTGTGCCAAGCTTCGGGAACTGAAGCTGCATTCCTCCTTTCCCCTTCCAATTCAAGGAGAGCTGCCACTGTGGGGGTCGCAAAAGGTGCCGGAGCCTTTTCCATCCTTCTGCTCAGGAGTTTATTCGGGTACCGTTTCTCCACGCCAGAAGCACCCTCAAAGCCGCTCCCAACGACACACAAAATATAAGGCGTAACAACATGCCAAGATAATGCAGGAACAGGTGCAAAGCAGAGCACCATGTAAACAAAAAGAATTCACACTAATATCAGGAAGGCAAGCAAGCATCTCATGTTACTAAACACTGAAACAATGCCTAACAACAAAACAGTGTTAGAAACTCTTGAAATATAGGGTAATGGTTGGGTTACCAGATGTCCCCGGTTCCCGGGGACAGTCCCCGGATTTGCAAATCTGTCCCCGGACAAATTCCGTCCCCGGAATGTCCCCAGATTTGCAAATCTGTCCCTGGGAAACGTGGCAGCAGCAGCCTCAGCAGCCCAGAGCCAGCATGGTAGCGCAGTTGGCTCTGGCTGGCTTCAGGAGCTGCTCGCTGCTTGCTGCTGCCACCACTGCCAAAGGGGAACCGGGGACGTCCGGCGGTACAGATCTCCTGCCCCCTTCCCCCTTTGTTTTGACAGATTGGGGGAGGTTCAGGAGTCGTGAGTGGGTGGCCATTGCCCAGGAGGGACGCAAGGCGCGCAACTTTCTCTGCCAGGCAAGGTGCAAAGCCCTTCTTTTGCACCCTGTGAAACATAAATGCACAGAGTTTTTTAAAAACTGGGCAACGGCTGCCCGCCTGTGACTCCCAAGCCTCCCCCAATCAGCCAAAACAAAGGGGGAGGGGGGAGGATATCTGGGGAGGCTTGGGAGTCATGGGTGGGTGGTGCACCATTGCCGTTTTTAAAAACCTCTGTGCATTTATGTTTCACAGGGTGCGAAAGAAGGGCTTTGCACCTTTATACAATATGCATGTGTGCTTGGGCCCAGGGTCTTTTGCCTCTCCATCCCCACTACTGACTCCCTATTGCTACTCAGCTTCAAAAAAAAATGTCCCCGGATTCATTGAAAAAAATCTGGTAACCATAGGTAGTGGCCAAATGGCACCTTAAACCTAGGTGTGGTCACCACAACAAGAATGTCTAGGCGCCATTTCCCCTCCCCCCCCCATGTTTTTTTTTATTAGTATTATTATCTTTCATTTCATTTCTGTAAAACTTCACATCTTAAAGGAAAAAATCTCAAAGCGGTTTACAGCACATCGGAACATAAAATAAAACAATCCAGAACAGAACAAATTCAAGCTTCAAGGGAAATATTTCAGATCCTTCTCGAAGTGACATTTTGCTTCCCCCATATTTATTTATTTGCTTGCTTAATTTATATAGCTTCCCCACAGCAGACGTACTCTAGGAAGCCAGTGTAGCGTAGTGGTTAGAGTGTCGGACTAGTATCCGGGAGATCAGGGTTCAAATCCCCACTCAGTCAGGAAGCTCACTGGGTGACCTTGGGGTCAGTCACAGCCTCCTAACCTACCTCACAGGGTCATTGTAGGGATTAACTGAAGAGAGGGGTGAACCATGCACTCCTTGGAGGAAAAGGTGGGATATAAATGCAAGGAATAAGCTCTTCTGCTGACCTGCTTAAGAGAGCTGGAGGGGCCAACCAGATGGAGATGTATCTTGTCAACCTGGGATCCAGGGATCTCCACAGTTGCAATTGGACCCACGCCAGTTGCAAAACGCTCCTGGCCCCTGGGGGATTTCTAACGCTGCAACAAAATGCTAAGCATCCAAAGACCGGCAAAATAAATAACACCACCCAGGCAGCAAGTGGGGCAAGGCAGGTGGAAAAGCTTCCCCATGATGGTTCCAGCAGACTCTCCCATGCCAGGAGGCAAACTCCCCCACTGAACAGCTATTGAGCTACTCAAGGGCTGTAGCTCAGTGGCAGAGCAACTGCTCTGAATGCAGAAGGTCCCAGGTTCAATCCCCAGCAGCCTCTACAGCTAGAACCCTGCACTGCGGGACTACAACTCCCTTCATCCCTGGACACTGGCCATGCTGACGGCGGCTGATGGGTGTTGTAGTCCAACAGCACCTTGAGAGAGCACCACATTGGCTACGTCTGGCTTATATGTTGGTTGGTAAAAGCTCAGTGGTTGTGCCTGCATATTCCTCCATCTCGATTAAGGCATCACCTGGGGAGGAATCCTACATGCAGCTTCTAAACTCTTTGCTGCAATAGAAAAATAGGCCCATCTCCTTTGCTCTCTCACTTCGGCACATTCCCACATCATTTAGCCACTGTTTTTAATTAAAAAAAGAAAGGCTTCACGGATATTCATCAGCCGTTAGCAAGCATTCCTTCTAACTGAAGACATTCTTGTATGCGGTTTCACCTAATAAGATGCATTTAGGGGTATAGAATCATGGAATTGTAAAGTTGCAAGGGATCACAAGGGTCATCTAGCGCAATGCAAGAATCTTTTGTGCAAGGTGGGGCTCAAACCCGGGACCCTGAGATTAAGAGTTTCGTGCTCTACCAACTGTGCTATCCCAGCTATCACTCGCTGGAGCAATTTGGAGCACAACTTTTTTCTTCCACATAAACACAATGTTCAGAAAGATAGCTATGCTTTCAGTCCATGGCCTATTTCAAGAAGTGTAAATAAGCAACCCTACCTGGATTTAAGACAAGCCTGCTGGATCAGGCCAGTGGCCCATCTAGTTGAGCATAACAATGGCCGCTCAGTTGCCTGTGGGAACCCCATAAGCAGGATTCGTGCACAATACCCCTCTCCTTTCCTGTGTTTTCTAGCAACCTCCAACCTCATTGCTGCCTCCAACTGTGGAGGCAGAGCAGAACCATTGACAGCCCTCTCCTCCATTCATTTGTCCAATCCTCTTTTAAAGCCATCCAAGTTGGTGGCCATCCCTGCCTCCAGTGGGAGAGAGTTCCACAGTTTAACTCTGTACCATGTGAAGAAGAGCTCTCTTCTATCGCTGCTGAATCTTCCTGCGTTCTGCTTCCTACATTCTGGCCACAATGTTCTAATGCTCCCCCGCCATTGTTAACTGCAATTAAGGAAGTGCCAGTGGTTCTGTCTCTGGCTGATTTTAATGAGGAGTGGGCTGCAAATGGTAGAAATTGAAATTAAAAGGCTTGACTCGTGAGCCTGGGCTGGCTGGCTGCAGAGTGACGTCTGCAACCGAGGTCTGGAATTCTTGCTGCTGGTGCTAACAAGTAGGAACACATCTAGCCTTCCCCTAAATATTATCACACTCCACCCCAATTTCCAAGCGAGGAGAGACTCTGGGGGTTCCGGGCATTTGCCCAGGTCTGGTTTTCTTGGATGAAGGTCAGTGGAGACCGTGGTGTCTTTAGGATATATGGTTTTATTTACACATATATATACACACACACACACATATATATACACCAGTGTCAAAGCAATGATTCTTCAACATCAACTTCGCTGGACTGGTCTTGTTCCTTGGATGCCTGATTATCATCTTCCAAAGCAACTACTCTATTCCGAACTTAAAAATGGAAAGCATAATGCTGATGGTCAACAAAAGAGGTTTAAAGACTCTCTCAATGCAAATCTTTAAAAAAGGTAATATAAACACCAACAACTGGGAAACACTGGCCTGCGAGCGCTCCAGTTGGAGAACAGCCTTTACCAAAGGTGTCATGGGCTCTGAAGATGCTCGAACTCAGGATGAAAGGGAGAAATGTGCTAAGACGAAGGCACGCTTGGCAAACCCTCACCGTGATCAACTCTTGTCTAGAAACCTATGTCCTCACTGTGGAAGGACATGTGGATCCAGAATTGGCCTCCACAGTCCCTTATGGACTCACTGTTAAAACCGTGTTCATGGAAGACCATCTTCCTTGGCTATGAGGGATTGCCGAAGAAGAAGATGATGATGATGATGTACAACATCAGCAAAAGATGGAGGGGCTTGCAACTTCAGCACCCCAACAGATCTTGCTTTTCCATTAGTCACAGTTTTAGATCCAGCACAGAGCAAGCAGGTCTCTGTCTCACCGGCTTCCAGATTGTTTCTAGCTCAGCTCACACACCCCACACCGACACTTGGTCTCCTACCTAGCAGCTAGGTGAGGAGGGCGAAAGGAAATGCCCTCCTTAGCCTGAGGGGAACCACCACTTAGGTGCAACTCTTGCAGATGAGCTCATTCTTTTGGGATGCTGAGGAGGACACCGAAGTGGCCAGCCGCCATCTTACAAAGAAACTTGGCTGAACATTTTAGCGACAGAGCCAGCATGGTGTAGTGGTTAAGAGCGGTAGACTCGTAATCTGGTGAACCGGGTTTGCGTCTCCGCTCCTCCACATTCAGCTGCTGGGTGACCTTGGGCTAGTCTCACTTCTCTGAAGTCTCTCAGCCCCACTCACCTCACAGAGTGTTTGTTGTGGGGGAGGAAGTGAAAGGAGATTGTTAGCCGCTTTGAGACTCCTTCGGGTAGTGATAAAGCGAGATATCAAATCCAAACTCCTCTACTTCTTCTTCTGTCACAGTCTAACCCTCACCGGGTACAGGGCCCCAAGAACTGGAGGGGTCTCAGGGCACCATCCAGACTGACCCTCCCAAAAAAACCCAGAAGAATATCCTCTGCGGATGACCATTAGTGACAACATAGGAAAAGGCGTGGGGGGAGGAGGGAGAGAATATGCAGAGACCATCATCTGGCCACCAAATTTAATACACACCCCCATCTACTGGCCTTCTCAAACAGATGCTGGTTTTCTCTCAGGCTGAAATCAGGCCCGGTTCCCAGCATGCATACGGCCTGCGGTGGTGGGAGGGGGGGTGGAAACTAGCAAAAGGCAGCGGGCTGGGGAGGGGGGGTGGGAAGCAACACAATTTTTCCTGACCGATTGCTCCAACAAATAACATCCCTGCAATTACCTCTCCCCATGTTCTATATCTGTTCCTCTTCCTGGCTTCTCCTCCCTCCTTCCCAGCCCCCCAGGTGCAGAAAGAGCTGCAGGGCTGACAGGAAATAAAAGTGGGCATCTGGAATATTTTAGCGTCACGCTCTCTCGGAGGGGGAGGGGGAGGTGATATATGGCCCTGGCGATCTCATCAGAGGAGAGCGGGAGCTGGCAAGGCGCCTGTGCTTTATGATGCTCCCGCTTGATAAAGATGGCAGGTCAGTCCATTTCCCCAGCAGCCAGCGAGTGCCATATTCTCACCTACGCAGTAGGGAGGGAGGGATGGAGAGAGGAGGAGAAGACAGAGAAGGGAAGGGAGGGTTGTTGTTCTTACCAGCCACTACAAGGCTAGATTTACCCACCATTTTGGCCTCCAGCAATGCCCAGCCCGTGTCTCTATAGAGATGCAGTGGCAAATCGAGGCACGAAGGTGTCCTTGTTTTACCTTCTTGTCCGCTCCTCGCGGCTATACTCTCCTTGACTGTGGAGGCTCCACCAGGCAGAGCGCAGCTCCGCTAAAGGAACCGTGTTTTGGTTTTTGAGCTCCCTTTGTTTTTCATGTGGCTCTTATCCGAAGGGCTATTCTGCACCATATGTGCAACAGCAGGCTTGCTCCCGGTCAGAGCAGAGGGAACAGAAGCGAATATGGGCAGAGCGTTGGGAGAAATGTCCTAACAGCAAACCCTGTTTGACCGTGACACGGGATGCCCTGAGAGGCTGCAGGATTTCCTCCGCAGGAGCAAGGACTTCACGGCCGTTTGCTGGAGCTGCATCTTGCATTGACTAGGAGGGCTGCATTAGATGACCTGCAGTGTGTCTTCAAACTACAAGGCCTCTATGTTTCATATGTTTGTGCAATACAAATGCACACAAATCCCTGCCATATGAAGTAGTACATTCCAGGATCCCACCACTCCATTCGAAACCGCGTGCAGAAGGACACAAATTTAACTAGTGTCCACCACCACGTCTTGTGGCAGTGAGTTCCATAAGTTTGCCTTTGTACGGCGTGAGGGAGTACCCAGTACTCCCTCTCTTTCCTTGAGTTCTGAACATAAGGCCCACATCTCATCAGCTTCCCCTCAAGTTTTAGTATTATGAGGAACGGGCGGGGGGGGAGTGTCCCACTTTCCATATGATTCATAAGAACTTAAGAGCCTGCTGGGTCAGGCCAATGGCCCATCTAGTCCAGCACCCTGCTCTCACAGAGACCAATCAGATGCCCCAATGGGGAGCCCAAAAGCAGGAGCGGGGCCCAAAAGAGCTCTCTCTTCCTGCGGCTTCCAGCAGCCAGCATTCAGAGGCATCACTGCAGCCGACTGCGGAAGCAAGAGCAAAGCCGTTCAGAATTTTATGACCAGCTATCATGTCCTTCCTTGGGCCCAAGACACATGTATATTTTAATACGCTTTAATGAGCATTCAGGAGCCTTCACCCATTCAGTTAACGTCCATTGTCACTGTTTATAGGTTTTGATTTTGCTTCGTTAAAGATCACCAAGCTCCCTCTCCAGGTGGCACAAAATGGGATATTTCCTCACCTGCCCAGATACCAACCAGCACAGCTAAATTCAGATACAACTCCCCCCCCCCATGACACAGCTGGCAATACTATGGGGGTGTGAAAACTCCTTCCGCCCCCCCCAACTCTCTGCATTATCTTCCTCCTCCTGCTCCCCTCAAACACACACACACACACACACACCACACCATAATTTCCATCCCCTTCCCCCATCTCTGCCCTCCGGTGAAACTGAAAGAGATTAACATGTCAGCGTTCTTAACCAGGTAAGCAGAAGAGATTATTTATTGCATCTATATCCCACTTTTTTCCTCCAAGGAGTACATGATTCACCCCCTCCTCAGTTAATCCCAACAACGACCCTGTGAGGGAGGTTCAGAGGCTGTGAGTGACTCCAAGGTCACCCAGTGAGCTTCATGGCTCAGTGGAGATTTGAACCCTGATCTCCCAGGTCTTAGTCTGATACTCTAATCACCACACCACACTGGCTTCCTAGAGTACCTCTGCTACGTGGCAGCTCTA